GGGGGCGGAGCGGGCCCCCCCCCCGGGCCCCAGCTCGATAGCCATATCGCGATAGCCTCGACAAGGCTGAGGGAAATCCCGGCAGCTGCCGACCCTGTGTCAGCGTGAGCAGGAGCTTGGTGCTTGTGCGGGCTGGGGAACACCTTTATCCGCAGGCAAATCGCTTTCCTGAGGCCGAGTGATGCTCCTTGAAAATTCAAGGCTTTGCTTCAAATTATGAGCCACAGGGATTCCGAGGGGAAAAAAAAAAAAAAGTTCTTCATTACTGTCAAAATGATTAATTTCCATTTCTTTCACAGAGGTCAAAGGTTTCCTTCCAGAATGTACATTTCAGCCCGAGGTAGACAAAGCTGGTTTTGAAAACTTTGGCTTCAACAATTAGCATTTGCCTTAAAAAAACCCCAACAAGGTCTTGTAACGAGGTGCACTGGCTGTAGCTGCTGCATGTTCTACCACACAGTTGTGACATTAACAAAAATTAAACCCATTTTTTAGAAAATGGGCCATCGTGTGCACCTGGAGTAAGCGTGCACAGCATCACTCGCCATCATTGCCAAGATCAGGAGCAGCCCTGACGAGCAGTCACGCTTTTGTTGTATAAAACACTTAACTGGAGCGTGGTCTGTAGCTGTTCTTGACGAAACCGTCCAGGAAAGTCAGCAGGGTTTGGTTAAAGGGCTGGCTGAGAGCAGGACTTGCAGTGGAGGTGGGCGGACGGACGGACAGACTCCCACCTTGCTGCGCTCCTAGGAATCGGGTTGGGACTCCCGCTCACTGTCAAGTGGCGTTAAGGCTTTGTTTTCCTCTGGACCACACACGCTCGTGAATGGGCAGAAACCCGGTGCCAGCCTGCACGCAGTGGGAAGTCGCTACGCCAGGTCTCGCTCATGCAAACACCCCCTTCACAGAATGCCGTTCTTGCTGCTGCGAGTTTGTGTGCTTCATACGAATGCCTTAGAATTGTCACTGGGTGCTTTTTTTTTTTTTCCCCCTGTGCCAAAACGCTCACTTTCAATTTAAAAATCCTCCAGCAGCAACATGGACTTCATTAATCCTTGCCATGAGACAATCTCAGGGTGTTGGGACTATCAGCCTGATGTTATACCTGAAATTATATATTCAACTGGCGTAATAATTACTACTTAACTGCAGTGTCCCTTTCACAGGCATGTTGTGGGGTTTAAATGTTCAACCCGTGTGAAATGTCCCCTGTTGCTCAGGGGGAGGCAGCATGTTCTAAATAATAGCGGCTAGGAAACACCTCCTTGGAACAGAGGCAGGAATGTGGTCAGTGCCCTCTTGTGGGAAATGACTGGGAAAAGAAAAAAAAAAGTCTAAAAATAAAGTTGGGGAAGTGCCATTAGGGAATTCACTAAGGGTTGCCTGTGTGGTAAAATCATACTACTCTAACTCCACCACTGGCATCACGGTGATGGAGCTGCCCAGCATGGATGAGGCTACACCAGTATATATATATACACACACATATATATTGCTGTTTGGTTATACAGCAAAAGTTTTGATTCCAGACACTTCTTGTGGAATAATAACACGTCTGCACATGCAGTTGTGGTATTTCAAATTAACATCCTACTTCACAGTCTAAAATAACTTTAAAACGGAGACATCTTCTTATTGCTGTGCAAGAAAGGAAGCGCAGCATCTTGACACAAGGCGTTACTTTCGCTCGAGGGTTTTTACCAGAGTATAAATACAAACACATCTTTAACTATTAGTTACTGCAGAACACGATGCATAATGAAAACTTTAGCTCCCATTCTGCAAGAAGAAATAAAGCATTCATCAAAAGGCGTTTTGGCTAAGGGAAGGGACGAGTCTGTTACGAGCCTCGAGTCCCTTTACAGAAAGCAGAGGGAGATGAGGCACGTCCAGGAGGCATTTGAGATCATAGACGGTATGAATCACCTCTAAAATTGCCTATTTCCACTGCGTTCCCAAATTGGATACCTTAATTAGGTGCCTATAGTTAGTGGGGATTAATTTGGGCCCAACTGCGTAAAACTGTTGGGTGATGAGGACATTAACCTCAAGAAGCCCAGGGATGAAGCTGGTGAGGTATGTCCCACTGATTTGATAATAATGGGGTGTCTCTGAGAAGATGGATGAAACGGCCTTTTCACAGGCAGTTTTGCTCTCTGCGAAACGGAGATCGTAACTTTTCAATTCCTCATGTGTCTGAAAGAGGCTGAGAATATTAATGAGTTACTCAAGAGGTACTTTTGTAGGTCAGTGCCATCACGTTGCGAGGGAATTTTATCTCTCTTTTTGCAGAAGAAAAAAAAAAAGTAGTAAAATGTATTGATTAGCTTATAGAAAATATTTAGTATGATTTCTGTGGGTGATCAGAACATATTACGATTTTACACAGAGTGACTTGGCTTTTGAAGGGATCGGGTTTGGAAGGATGTTATTTAGAGGAACCGGGGAGCCCTGTGTTCTACATGAATGCGCTCTCACAATTTCAAACCCAACGGTACCTTCTGGTTCCCTTGCATGTTCCCTTTGTTCCTGCATGGTTGGAGGGGATGAAGTGTCATCTGCTATGAAAGGACAGGATAAACAAGTTCTAAGTAATGCCTGCTTTGTGTTTTGAAAGTGATGGGTTCCTCCATGAAAGTGACTTTTCACAACAGGGATTTCCCCCAAATTATTTTAGAATTCATGTATTTGAAAAAAAATTATTATTGGAACCTGAACTGCATGATCTGAGAAAATAGAAAGTCTTCCAGTGAACTGAAAAGAAAATTTCTACAGGCATGCTTCACCTTTCCAGTAACACCAGTTGTTTGGATGTTTCTACAGCACTTTCAGTAAATATTGAGACTTATTTTCTTCTCTTTATTTTTCCCTTCTCAACGGAAAGAACAAACTTCATCAGTTGTATCCTTTTTGCACCTTTCATCCCTCAGACGCGGGAATCTTCGGGAAGACTGGCTGGAATGCACTCACATCTTCCTGCCTACTAGATCTGCACAATGCTATTTTTGTGTTATTCTTTGAGTTTTCCATCATCAGCGTGAAAACAGTAAAACATTTCTTCCAAGGGAAGATGTTTTCCACAGCTTTAGCTGGGGTTTTGCTGACATTTTGCCCTGTTTGGCTCCCACTCATGCAGAAACCCCTTTAACCTACCCAGCAGTCTTGACAGAGGGCTGGCAGCCACGTTTTACGGTCACGCAACTCTCATTCCCTTAGGAAGCAAGGCTAGAAATTGGATTTGTGGAGTGGTGGACACAGAGCCCATGCAGCACACCTCACACAGCTGGCGCAGCCGACAAGAGGTAGGAACAGTAGCTTTCAGTAGGACTTCCTCTTCTCTCATGTTAATTCACCCCATACCTTTACTCCTGCCAAGATCTCAGTAACCTCCTAAGAGGAGACACCCTTGGCTTCAGAGATTTCCATGCTTAGAACCTATCTAGTAATTTTTTGCTCCACCTTCCTTCAACTGGAAAAACACAAAAACCTGGTTCTTTTTTAATCAAATGAGCTGCTCTGGGAACTGGAATACATCCACCGCCTGTGGGCGGGTGCTCCATTTAGAAACTGGATGGGCAGTTCCTGTAAAAGATGCCTGGGATGATGTCCCTGCTCAGAGGACTGGAGAAGGGCTGGGGGAGAGAGGGGAGGATGAAGAATATTCTCAGCATAGAAAGAGAGATGTGGAAATAATGAAATCTGCACTGATAACTTCCTAATATAAATTACATTGTATTATTTAAGCATTTGGTATAATTTGGTTATCAAAAATACGTATGAATGGCCAGTCTATCTGGATTCTTGGAGCCACATTCCAACTTCTCCATGTGGTGGTAAGCCCCAGGACATCTCCTATATTGCATTAGTAACGCGCTGCTGTGCCTCGAGAGAAAATGATTCCTTCGGTATGGATGTACCTGCTATATAGGAATCGTACCTATCTGTGGGGGCGGATGGGCTCTTGAAGATATTTTAACTGTTGGGTACCTCCTATAAACGAGGCGCTTCAACTCCTGTCGCAGTCAGAGGGGCAGCTGGCAGGGTTTAACACTGGGCAGCAGTTCTTCGAACCGCGCCGGGAAGCTACTTGGCTTGGAAGGGCCCTATCCCCGCTGACTCCAGGGGCAGCACAGAGGACGAATTCAGCCTCCATGTGTAACTTTAGGATGGCTGTCATCGTGGGATGCCTACAGGGGAGATGAGTCTGACCTGAGCCCGCAAGTAATTTCTCCATATTTGTACAGCAGCATGTGCTGTATTCCCTGTCCTTCAGGGGCATTTTGAGGATGCATGATGGTAGAACCCTCAAATACCTTGGCAGTGGGTCCACACAGACAAACAACTAGAGCCATGTATTATCTCTGAGTATATAACAGTTAGTTTTGTGAGCAGTGAATTAAGGAAGTCTGTTTCTTATGAACTTACATCTCAAAGCTGAGCTCGTGGCCTTTCTCAGGCACGTAACAAAGAGCGCAGCTTGCAGACTTTCCGTCACGTGGGCAGTAATAGGGCCTGTCTGCTTCACAGAGCCACCTATCCTCAAAAACTTACAGGAATTTGATGTATTGAAGTCTGCCAACCCTCTGTCAACTTGCTTAAGGCTGACTAACAGGCGTAGAAGTTGTCTGGGGAAATGCAGACATGCACACGCACCCCCCTTCATTTCCTAGGCTAATGAATACCCCACTACGTACCAAATAACATTTTTTTGAAAAGGGACTAAAGCCAAACCTGAAAAAGCAAGCTTTTATCCTAACTCCTGGTATTTGCAATCTCAAGTTACTTTCTGAACCCTACCCAGCAGGCCAGTCATAGCTGAACCATATAGTATAAAAAGGCACGGCAGTATGTATGAGGTTACTGGGAAATGGTGATTTCATTACACGGATCCCACCTCATTGCTGTGAGAAATCCTTAACAGCAGTTATCAGCTGTCATCTGTTCCTTTACAGCTTCTGTTTTATGTAAATGGGATTTATTACATCTTTTACTTCTTGGCAACTCTCACAATGATTGTTTATAAAAGTAAGTTCCACATATTCTAACATGGAATGTGTTTAAGGCGGTGTGCTTATGGCATGGTTGTGCTTTGTCAGCATGCCTACTGTGTTTTCCTGGCTTATTTACACTGTGTTATTCTACAGGTCAAGTTTTCAGTTATCCAGATGATTTTTTGGGTCCTGATCTTGCCTTGCTTTTCATTATGGCCATTCTTGAAGTGCTCCGGTTATACTTGGGTATGTCATGTTATTGCTGTGCCTTTTCAGTGGAACATAATCTTTAAACGTTAATCATTCTGTAATGGAGTGTGTGTCACAACATGCCAGTTCAGCAAACTAACAGGTATTTGGAGACCATCGTTCATTTATATCATTAAACTTTATCTGACTGAGCAATAGATTTGGCCAGAGGGTCAAAGAGGATTTGCTCTCATATGAAATATAATCTATAATGCCATTAACAAACAATAGCTGGGTTGTCAGAAAGCAGTATCACTGGGACAGCTGGAATGCTGTTTACAAGCGAGTGTGACTCGTGAGAATGAACATGTTGAAACGCAGAGATTCCCATTCACTGAGGTGATACAGCTCCTTTCAACTGCTCCGGCAACGTACACAAGTAACCCGGTGGCCGGAGCCTTGTGGGACAGGTAATGCTGAGGATGTCCCTGAGCAGCATACGGCTACCACCCTGACCACAGCTTTTCCTGAAGACACGTGCCAGTTCCAACATCTTTGTTTCACTAAGAGCAGCATGAAGGGCCTTCCAACCCCGCTCCAGAGCTGCTAAAACATCATAAAGTCTTTTTTTAAAAAAAAAAAAACAAGTTACAGTTAAAATCTGTGCTTGATATTCCTAAGGCATTTATGCAAGGCGGGTCTCTGCTGAATTCAGCTGACTTGCTGTAGGGGTGAATTTAGCCTGCTGCCTTAAAGCTCTCTGCATATGTTTGCTTGAAGCCTGGTGGATGAATAAAGAAGCAAGTTTCAAGTCTAATGTAGTTAAACAGCAAAATCTGCTGAGACTAGCTTGGAAATAAGATGCAAGGAAGAGGTAAGTGCAGCTTCTCCACAATGACAGTAATTCGAAATAGGAATAGATTAGCAGGAAATATAGAAGATTCTATGTTGCATAAGATTTTAAAATCAGGATTGGATGATCTTAGATGTGCACCACAGTCACCAAGTTGTCATGCTGAGTGTGGGGCTGGGGGGCACTGGGGAAAATCTGATGGTTGCCTAAGAAGCAGAGCAATCAAAGTGGTTGCAGCTTCAGAACTGATTATCTGTGGTAAGAAAAGGTAGGCATCGTGACTTTTGAGTATCGACTGATTGCTCTTTAGATTAACTTCGGTCAGCAAGAAGTGGATTGTCCATTGGTCTCTGGGTTTGTTCTCACATTTACTGACAGAGCCTCAACTCAGGCCAGTATTTCAGTGTACCCTGAGCTGCAAGAACTAGAGCCTTTTTTGAACAGGAATACTTTAGGCTTAATGGCTTGTGATATTGTCAGAAGAAATCCAAGACTCATATCAGCTTTTTGTTTCCTTCGAGGTTCCAATGGTAACCTGACAGAAGAGGAGGCTCCATTAGGACTCAGCCTCGTGATCACAGTCGGAAGTGTGATTCTGTCTGTGTATTTCCTGGTGTGGCAAACTTACGTACTGAAAGCAGACGTCATTATAAACGCTGTTCTTCTCTTTATGTATGGGCTGGAGTCAGTACTAAAGGTCATAGCCATTGCTGCTTTTGTCAGCTAAACCCTAGCAGTTTTCAACATGTTTTCAACACATTTCTTCTATAAAAGAGTGGGTTTATATTTCAAATATTTAATTCTTTTGCATATAAAAATCCTGTAAAACTTCCCTCTGTTTAAAGTACAAATTTTTGAGGGGCAGACATCTCCCCATCTAGCAGCCGTGTTGCACTACCTTATCAGTTGCTTACTTATGGGCAAAGGCGAAAGATGATTCAGCAAAAACGCTTAATGCTCTGGTATTCATCAGGGATTGGTGCTAAATATTCGCTCCCGACACAGAATAGTAGCCAGTGCATCATCTAACCACGTGCTGTTGGGACTACGTGAATCTTCACGGCGCAGCAGCAACGCACAACTGAAGTGGCACAGAAATGATTCAGGGCAATATAATATGGACCCATTTCTGCCTTAACACATACATGCTCGTGTTTAAGGGCACAGTTTCTCTTCTGCTCTCATTTGTGTTTTCAGACCCCAGTGGTAATTTCCCTGACTTTAGTAGGGCACTACCTGATTTATCCCAGTGGGAGAGAGCTGAATTGAGTTTTGCGCATACCCAGAGAGCCGAGCCTACAGGGTTTGGGCAGCTGGTTCTTACTGACGTGGAAGCCAAAGGCAGCAGTGTGAGGGTATGTCTGGTAAACGGGCTGGCCTTAAGATGAGTGTAAACATTCACCATTCACTCACCCTTCTGTCCTATTTAAAAGTCTAACAGGATGTTGTCAGGTATATTTGTATTTGGTGTTAAATGTGTTTATTTCCATGATTCTGCAAAAATGACTACATTCAAGCCTTGTCTTTTAAATGAAGAACTGTGTGCAATTTCAATTTTTTTTTTACTGTATCAAAAATATGTATGTATTAATGTAAAGCTCGGGGAGTTTGCGTGGCTTTTGTACAAGCAGGTCTTTATATTCAGAATTTCCTGAATTCCTAAATAAATATTTGTATTTATTTATTCAAATAAATAATGTTTTGGATCTAAGAAGTGTTTGAAGTGCAGAGCATCTTGTTCAGATCCTAGGCTACAGTGAAGCTACACAAAGGAAGACTTTGGCAAGACTGGATGTGTGCAAAAGACTTTTCTGATCCTCCTGCTGCTGCTATATGTGGGCCATTCTCCTGCACTGGGAAGGAGCGCCTGAGGTCTGTGCTAATTTGCACTAGCCAGGGGCTGAAAATACAGTGGTGCAGGCCCTGTGTCACCTCAGCCACACTGCTGTTTTCTTCCCAGCAGTGGTAGAAGGGAACAAAAGACGCAGAAGTTGTGTGGAAGCGCCCAGTTTCATCCCTCGGTCGTACCCAGGGGAGCCCCTTCCAAGGCCGGGTAACACCGATGTTACACCGTCCATGTTACACTGCCCAGCAGTGAAAATCAAAACATACACATTGGCACGAATCCCCCCCGGGCCAGATCCTGTTAAGTCAGCAGCAAACCAAACCCTCTGTTGATCAGCAGGAGCAAGGCTGCACCCGTGAAGCCAGCATGAAAGCAGCAGAACTGGGTGCTAAGGAGCAGCCAGGAAATTGAATGACCAAACATTTCCGTGCTTAACCTGCGTGAATCAAACACCCGCCCATTTGTCCTTCCAGATTTGCTTGGCATAGTGGAATGTACTCATCACATACTTGTTACGAGGAGTGACAACATACCGAGCTGTACCTACCCCATTAATGACGAACACATACCGAGCAAAACCTCTTTCTGTATGTGTACAGATAAAAGCACAATTTTTTTCCTGGTGTTTACACTTGCCTTATGCAAAGGTCTGACACCAGAACAGCTGACAAAATACTGCAAAGTGGAATTTTTTTTTTTACCTGAATGTAGGCGGTACAGCAGACAGGGTCACACAGGTTAACTTCAAGTTGCAGCCTCTGCACTTTACCTTCCTTCCCTCTCATGGTGCTCACTACAAACAAAATAAATACAAAATATTAGCACAGCTGGAGGCAGCAGAGACCCGGGGTGCAGATGCAGGAGACCCTGGTAAAGCCTGCAGAAGGTGCTCCTACCCCGAGGTGTTTGACCCTACCACAGATCACCACCACCCCCAGCTACAGCCCGACAGCCATCTGTGATGCTGCACCTTAAAACCGGATCCCTGGCCTGATCCATGCAGAAAATAGTCCTCAAAAATGGTTCTGATGAAGGTGTTAATAGGTGATGGCTGCCGTGTTTCTGCCTATCCCCACAGCACAGTCCGAGTCTGGGATAGTCTGCTGGGCTTTATAAAACAGTGGGGTTTAGATATACGTGTGTGTTATAAAACCTGGTGAATCCTTTGCTCCCTAACCATCACCTAGATGAAAAACAAGAATCAGCAGAGAGTGACAATGCTTGCTGATAGTTAGCAATGGGGTAAATATACACATATGATAATAAACATAAATTTTTGAGCTCATTTCAGAGGCTTGCAGACTGGTCAGAGTCCTGTCCAGCTGTCAGTGCTTGCTGGGGGTCAGCTGGCACCAACCTGGATTTGTGCCCTCAAAAGGGCAGGACAGCTCTGTTTCAGTTTTCCAGTTTAAGATAAAATTGTCCATGAACTTGTTTCTGATTAGACAAGCAGATATTGGGGTACTTCTGCTGCTGACAGCCCTTTACTCTGTGATGAACGTAGAAGGATGAAGAAGTCTGTAAGCTTCAGACACCTCCTTTGTCTTGGGTATTTCCAGGCTTTGAATGGGAATTGTCATTTATGCTGGTGATCCTGATTTTGTGACAGCTTCTCTCCATGCCAAGCTGGTACAAAGACCCAAAGTGAATCAAGACCTGACCTCAGAGAGTTTCTCTAATCAGGAGCTCCTTTTCAAACGGTTCCCACTGTTCGGAGAAGCAGGGCACGGCACAGTGAAGCCATTGATGACATTTGCCAGACATAAGATTGCTGGAGCTTTTAATTAGGAGGCCCAGCCCTTCTGAAACAGGATGAGCAAGTCGGATGAAAACGGCATTAAAAATTTAGAGGAACACATATTTTGAGGAGCTTGGTTTGGGTGTTGTTTACTCTGCAAGGAAGAAGTCTTTGTTCTCAAGCCATCATAGGGGTGTCTGCCGCCAACCTGATTTAAAAGGCTGATCCCAAGAGGCAAGTTAGCCTCCCAGGATTTCAAACTCAGAGGTACTCTGAGAGATAGGGCTTTATTGGTCCATGGCTTTTCTGTGTTCCTCAGCAGGCAGAAACAATGTACAGACCAAAACCCAGCTGAAGTGCTACGGTCCCCCAGCGACCGCCCCCTTTGTCACAGCGCTGAAGGGCTTCCAGCCGTGGCCGAAGGAGCGAGGCTGAGGGCGCGCGCTTGTTTGGTTCCAGGGCTGGGAGCCAAGTCAGCAGAGCTGGCGTACAGGAACCGCCACCACGCAGCAGGGTAATTCCCGTCTGGTTGATCACCTCTGCCCCGCTTCCACCAGCATCGCTGCTGCAGGGAAGTTGTAATAAGATGTAATAAGCTCAGCTGTGGTTTTCTTCCCTGCCCAGAGGAAAAGATCCCTCCTCTGCTCAGCAGTTAGAGACTTCCTACCGAGCACAGCACCTCAGGGTAGCCCGCTGTGCCAAAGCTGCCAGATAGCAGGCAGTCAGTGCTTTAAACATTAAATGGCTTCTCCAGCAGAATCCTTTCAAATCCCAGTTTGCATCCTAGGAAAGCCAGTCCAGCCCAGCAGTCCCACTGAAATGCCCCAGTAGCAGATGATGCATTGCAGGGGGTAGGGACCTCCTGCCCAAAACCTTTTAGGTGGAAGGCTTGCCGGGCTCCAGCATGGCTGACATTCCCACTGTGTTTCCCTTCTGTTGAACCGATATCCATTTCCCTGCCTGGTGGTGCGACTGGCATTCTGCAAATGCTGCTTCTCCCAGGGCTGGCTGTGTTTTCATGGTGCATCCTGTACCGAGATCCCCTGGGATCTCACTGACATTGCGGCGAGGAGGATGACAGGGCGCTGGGCGGGTGCGTCACACCAGGTGTCAGTTCATGTTCTCCCACAGCGGAAGAGGTCGTTCTCCTGTCAAAACCAAGCTGCTGAAAACATGTCTGTCATGCGTGGAA